GTTGTTTTTCTTAATGCGTTAAATGAGTTAGCCAAGATTGAATTGCAACCAAGAATTCACCAGAGAAATTGAAGTAAAATTATATTCTTGCAAAATAAAAAGAAGATACCTTCTTTTTCATTCAAAATCTGTCTTTTTAGAAAATGTTTCTTCTCTTGCACATGTATTTAGATCACTGGAGTAATTTATGTTAGTTGTTAGGATTGAGAATTATTTATTCCAGTATGTTATAAGGAATAAATACTTCAGGATTTTTTAACTGAATTATGTAACTTTTTTGCTTGCTTCATACTAATATTTTAAATTCTTGCACGTTTTCATTTAAAATTCCATGTTTCGTTTATGAAGTTTTTTTCCCAGTATAGAGATTGATTCTCCTTATCCTGGAGAAAGAAGAAAAATTAATTTTTTTACATTACAGCAGTACTTCATTAAAATCTATAAGAAAATGGAATAAATTTGTTTTTAGCTAATAATAAACCAAACACTGAATAAATGATATTATCGTTGGTAGGCTAGAAACAATTTTAAATGTTTTAGCCACTATTATTACTCCTTGCCTGCTGTATGAATAATTGTGCTCCCCCCCAAAAAAAAATGTTATTAGAATATACACAGCAAAGCATGCAGCAATTCAATATGTGCAGTTTGATAACATTGATTTCATTTGAGTTGTGCAACCATTCTCACCCTCCTTTTCTGAATTGTTCCTCCCTCATTAACATAAACTTAATGTCCCTTGTGGTTCCTATGCAATCTTTCCAGTTACTGTTGTCAATTTAATCTTATATAGATAGCTCTTGAAGGGGCTCTGGTGGTATAGTGCCTAAGGCATTTGACTGTTAACCAGAAGGTTGGTGGTTCAAACTCACTAGCCACTCCGTGGAAGGAAGACTGGAGAATCTACTTTTACAAAGATTTACTGCCTTGGAAACCCAAAAGTTTCTCTGTGAGTTGGAATGGACTCATGGCAGTGAGTTTGGTTTGGGTTTTTTTTAGATAGCTCTTAAAAGAGCATAATACTCAAGGCAGAGCTTCTTGACTGCTTAAGCTAAACTTATGTTCAGTTTTAAGATGACTTCAGGGATTATTTTGAGTTAAGGTTTAAAGATTAATCTAAGGGCAATAGTTTCAAGGATTCATCTACCTTCCATGGCTCCAGAAAGTCTAGGATCCATGAGAATTTGAAATTCTGATCTGCGTTTTCCCCCTACTGAACAGGATGCTTTTATGGAATCTTTGACCAAAGTATTCTCTAATTGTAAGTGAGTACCATCCAGTTCTTCTACTCTTATAACAAAGGAGGCAGTTGTTCATGGCAGAAATTAGACACCCATTCCGTATCCTCCTCCTGTTACTGACTCTCCTTCTTCCTCTGTATGTTTTTAATATGCCCTTTTATTGGACTCAGAACAGTAAATCATTGGGAAAAGTTACTATTAACTTTTTAAAAGTGGGAAGAACCTCTTTAAAATGTATACTGCTTTTTCTATGTTACACAAATCTCAATCTTCAAATTGTTCTAGTTGTAACCTGAGATGTTAATTTGTTACTGTTTTACATGGTTTCAGAGATAATGAGTCTGTTTTTCCAATGTACTTACACATTTTAGATTCACTCTTCGAATTTATAAAGTAATAGTCAATATAATGATAATAATGAAAGTAACATTAATTGAACATATGATATGTGAAAAGTACTGTGCTAAGTGCTTTATATGCATCCTCATTTAATCAGTGAACATGTTATTAGATTTTTAATAATACCTGTGTCTGAATCTAGATTTATTTTCCCAGTATTATTTTACTACCAATTCTATACTTGTTTTCCAGTTTCATAAGAGGCATGAAAATTATAGTGTTTGTTCTATCAATTATTTGTTTGAAACCAGCAGAAACCAGTTCCTTAGAAGAAAAAAAAAAAAAAAAAACCTATGCTCTGGGAGCACAGAAAAGAAGCATGTAGCTTGACCGAAGTTGGTAGTAGACTTAATTGCCTCTCTACTATTGTTGAAAGCCGTTGAGTTATTCTGACTCGTAATGACCCCATGTAACAAAGTAGAACCACTCTGTAGGGGTTTCTTGCCTGTAATCTTTACAGAAGCAGATTGCCAAGTCTTTTTCCTGCAGAGAGCTCTGTGGATTTGAACCACTAACCTTTCATTTAGCAGCCAAGAGCTTAACTGTTGCGCCACTAGGGCTCCTTATTGCCGCTTTAAAACCAAAAAAACCAAACTCAGTGCTATGGAGTCAGATCCAACTCATAGCAACCCCTCCTTGAGTTTCTGAGGCGGAATCACAATGGAAGTAGATTGCCCAACCTTCCTTCTAAGGAGGTGCTAGTGGATTTGAACCTCCAGCCTTCTGGTTAGCAGTCAAATGCCTTAGGCACTATGCCACCCTTAATTAATTCTAAAGAAGTGTTATAGTAGAGATGATCTGTAGGAGTATATAATAGGTGAAAGCTGTATATACAGGCTAGGCTTTCTCCACTGGTATGCATCAAATATAATGTATATTTAAAATTATATGACATGCATGAATTTGCTTTGTAGCATTAAGGCATATATTATGTTTAAAAGTAGTAATACTGATGTATTGATCTTTTTCTTGAAAAAGGTTTTGAAAGAGGGAAGGAAGATGTTTCTCAAAATAAAGATGAATCCTCACTTTCTATGTCCAAGAGTAAGGTAAGCATATTGTTGTCCTCAAATGTATAATTTATTACAGTTTTTAATTATTTAATATGAGAGAACTGGCACTTAAGGGTCTATCAGATTTTTATTGGGTATTTTTATATTGATGTATCTAAATCATGTAGTATGTGTGGAAAAAAAAGGAAAGTTGCACTGTAACTGGTTTAAACGCTGTTGATTACTTGGAAATACATTATTAGTAACCAGTGTTCTTTCCAGAATTATTATATTGTTTCTGGTATATCTGCTACAGTAGTGCTTCTCAAACTGGAGTTTGAATGTTCCATTTAGCGGTTATCAGGGTCATAGTTTTTTAAAAAAAAATTTGAAATATTTTGAGTTCACCCAGATGACAAGGGAAATACATACATCCTACCAGTTAAAGGCCAAAGATCTCTTGTAATAAAAGTGAGCAGTTGAAATACATTTTCTTAGACTGAGACATAGTTTCCGCAATCAGCATTTCACAGCTGGGATACTTGTACATATTCTTAGGTCTGAGAGACTTTTCTTCTTTATGAGTACATTTTCAAATTTGAGAAACACTTTTTGTTGCACTGGTTTCCCTATGAGTTTATCATTACTGAACTTTTATAATTTTGCAAAGTATTTGATTTTTGATGGCTATTTCTGGTCATATTTAGTATCAAAAGGAAGTTTTTATGCTTGTAGTATCAAACTTCAGTGTCTCTAAGAAGACCAAGTTCTTAAGCTAGAAAAGTCTCTGCTAATCTCGGCAGTAGGTTGTGTTCTTAAAGTCTTACAATTTGCTCCTGTTCCTGGGAGTTGTTGAGAGGATTCCACAGTATGTTGTTGGTGTTACTACGTGCCATCAAGTCGGCTCGGACTTACAGTGACCCTGTGCACAATAGAACAGAACACTGCCCAGTCCTGCATCCTCTTCACAGTCCTTCCTCTGCTTGAGCCCATCCTTTCAGCCACTGTGTCAGTCCATCTTGTTAAAGGTCTTCCTCTTTTTTGCTGATCTTCTACTTCACTAAGCATGATATCCTTCTCTAGGGAACAGTCCCTTCTGACAATAGTATGCTTATATGTGTGATTCTACACAAATTTTATGGACACTTAACTTTTCAAGTATTCATTATATAAAGGTCCATCTACATATATGAACAGTATCTAGGGTGAAGTCTTAGTAGTACTTTGCTTTTATATGACATATCTATGAGAAATAACTTGATAATTTTATTTGTTGTTGTTGTTATGTGCTGTTGAGTCGGACCCGACTCTTTGGGTTTCCGAAGCAGAATCACTATGGAAGTAGATTGCCCAACCTTCCTTCCGAGGAGTAGCTGGTGGGTTTGAACCGCCAGCCTTCTGGTTAGCAGTCAAGTGCCTTAGGCACTACGCTACCAAATCATTTTATACAACATGTAATTGACTAAAATTAAAGAGTAAATAACATCGGTCTGCCATGCCGAGAAGTAAAATAAAATTTATAGTATAAAAATAACCTATTTTCAAGAGATTAATTTTAGAATTGGTGAATATATGGTATAATGGTCTTCCTACATACCACTGTCACCTCTAAGTAGCCTTTAAACAGATATTTTGGGGTAAGGGAGACTGAAAGGAAACTTTTCATACTTAATGAAGCAATCAGTGTGCAGTAATGAAAAATGAGCATGGCTTTCTAGATGCATTGTTCAGTACTGTTGCCCCTAGCTAGCCACATACAACTCTTTAAATTTAAATTAATAAAATTAGAAATTTAGTTCCTCACACTACCCACATTTCAAGTGCTTAGTTGCCGCATATAGCTAGCAGCTGCCATATTGGACAACTGAGTTATAGAACATTTTCTTCTTTCAGAAAGTTCTAGTGGACACTGCAGCTTTAGAGTCAAAAGAGCCAAGTTTAACTTTTAACTCTCATCTATTACCTATGACTTCTTAGTTACTAATTACAATGATGTTAACAGTTTCTTTGTATTGAAAGCTTATTATTGTCATTTTAACTTTCATAACAATACTAGAAGACAGTTAATATCAGTCCCATTTTGTAAGGGAACAAACTTAAATAACGTTTTCAGGAGTCAAAATAATTAGTACTAGAGCTATAATTCAAAATGGCTTCAGTTGTCTAATCTGTATAATAGAAATAAGATCTACTTCCCAAAACCTGATGCCAAAAGTGCTCGACATAGTTGTAGTTCATGGTTAACAATAGATATTTAAGAATTAACTTTCTTCCTTTAAATAAAAAAATTAAAATGAATGAGTTGGGCTCTTAACATAGTAACTGTTTATATAGGGAAAGTTATACTACTCTTGTTATTTTTCAAGAGCTGAAATTTGCTGATTCTATCATAATTCAGGTTTAATCTGGATTCATTCTGTCAGTTTGAGAGATCCAGAGTCACTAGTTTGTTTCTAAATATTTTAACACATCGCCCATCTACTCTATTGTTTTTCAGAACAATTCTAAAATTCATGGATTTGTTTTTAAACTGGATTCTCATGGACTTCTGAATATTTTTATTTTTACCTGAACAAATTTGAAAAATAAAGTTCAGTTATTCCTTCCATGATTGACTTGGATAATTGAGCCCACCAAACAGTTTAACTTTATACTTCTATGAACCTGGTGCAAAAAGTTGTCAGTGCTGCCATTTTGATCTTAAGATTCGTGACTTAGTGTTATTTCTCAAAATCTATAATTGAGTCCAGTAACTAACACAGTGGAATATACCACCTCACCCTCAACATTTTTTAAATAAAATCAGTCCCTTTTTTTTTCATAATTCTTTCCTAACCATTTTCATTGTGTGAATAAGTGAATTGGGTAAGTCAGTTAACCAGATCATACCATCTTATTCTTATGAATAAGACCAAGTTGCATTTTTCAATGAACTTTTAATTGTCCATCTCAACAATAGAAATCACCAGCATTAACTAATGTGTCTAGTGTATAACAGGAATCCTTTCACAAGCAGTAGTAGTAGTCTCTGAGCCCAGCTTTCTTAATTTCATTCTCTAGCCATCAGTCTCCTTAGCTGAAGGTTTTTTAAATCATCTAATCACTTCCTTAAAAATTTATTTACCTGGACATTTAGAAAACCTCTCCGAACAAAAATAGTCACAGTGACTTTAGTCACCTTGTGGTTACTATCATATTGGTAGTATCCTGTAGTTTTTAAAACAAGTCACACGTATTCTCATATATTGATGCTCCTTTTACCTGAAGATCAGATTTTTGACAGTGCCTGCATAGAATATGTTTATAAACTTGGGAACACAGTATATGCTAAGTACTATGTTAAACACTTTTATGCATTACCTCGTTTAACCCATAAAGTAACTGCATGAGTTATTAGCAGTATCTTCATTTAAAGACAGATTAAATAACTTCACAGCCAGTAAGGGGACAGCATTTGGGGGTTAGGGTGGGGATAAATTAATAAATGAAAATATACCATGCTGAGCATTCTAAGGCCATTTAGTGAAGGCAAGCAGTCCTGTACACTAAACACTGTGATCATCATTAAGAGAGTCAGTGGGATTTATAAAGGCAAGGAAACTTAGGGAAATATTGCCAACAAAAATGGTTTCTAGTGTTTTGATATTTAAAAGTAAGCTAATCATTCAGGCAGCTTAGGTAGTTATGTTTTAAGAGGTGGTAGAATTTAGTCACTGGTTATATGTTTTTTGTTGTTTTTTTTTTTTAAATTCAAAGCTAGAGTGTGGAAGAGACACAATGCCTTGAGATATATGTGCTCTGATTTACCACATGCATGTGACACCCTTCTGGCCTGCTGGTTCTTTACATACTGGAATCTTTTAGGAATAACCAAAACAGATACTGTCATTTGGAGTTGTAGAGGAAACAAATTTTTTCTTACTCGTTAAGATAAGCCTTAAATTTGAATCTGACTGAGAAACTGTATGAGCAGGTTTAAAAGATGAGAAGTTAGTATAGTGAAATGGCTGGTAATTAGACTAGGTACGAGGCTTAGGTTATATACTTACTGGCTGTGTGACTTTGGTGAGTTATTTATCTGTTAGTTTTCTGATTTATCAAAGAAAGATACTCCTACTAACTCATAGGACCAAATTAGGTAGGGCACATAAGTCATTTAACAGAGTACTCAGTAAACAGCCATTAATCTTCATCAGTTTTTAAGTTAATATTAGTAGTCTTCATTTAATAGTATGTAAGAAATAAATTATTGTTGTTGTTAGGTGTTGTTGAGTCAGTTTCGACTCATAGTGACACTTCATACAACAGAACAAAACACTGCCCAGTCTTGCATCATCCTCACAATTGTTGCTATGCTTGAACCCATTTTTGCAGTCACTGTGTCAGTCTGTCTTGTTGAGCGTCTTCCCCTTTTTTTTCTGACCCTCTACCAAGCCATGATATCCTTCTCCAGGGATTGATCCCTCCTGATAACATGCCCAAAGTATGAGGGATGATGTGTGGCCATTTTCACTTCTAA